TTGAACTTGGTCTCGTCCGACGAGGCCTATCTTCTCGAGCTTGCAATGGCCGAGAAGCTCGAAGACCTGAACCGGGTCGCTGCGGTTGTGTCCAGGCTTGGAAAAAGGTGTGTTGAGCCTGCTTTGCAGGGTTTTGAGCATGTCTATGCTGACCTTGTTAATGGGGTTATTGATGTGAAGGAGTTGGGGTTTTTGGTGAAGGACATGGAGGGTATGGTTAGGAGGATGGAGAGGTATGTGAACGCCACTTCGAATTTGTACAATGAAATGGAGGTTTTGAATGAGTTGGAACAGGCCACCAAGAAGTTTCAGCACAATCAACACGAGGAGAGCAAAAGGGCTTTTGAGCAGAAGCTGATTTGGCAGAAGCAAGACGTGAGACACCTCAAGGATGTTTCTCTTTGGAACCAAACTTATGATAAGGTTGTGGAGTTGCTGGCCAGGACAGTTTGTACCATTTATGCTACTATTCGTGCTGTTTTTGGTGACTCTGTTTTGGGCAAGAACCATGTTGGTCTAAATGGTGGAGCTTCACCACCTCCTATGTCTGGTCCGGTTGACGCGAGAAGGGTTTCTCAGGTGGCTTCTGAGCCACTGAAGAGAGTTCTTAGTAGGAAAAACGGGTTGCATTCGGGTCCAGTTGAGAAAGCTATGGTGGTGAAAAAGGGGTCAGCTTTTAAGCCTCAATTTGATTCAAGGAGAGGTGAATTGGGATTGTATCGAGCAGAGGATTTTAATTTTCTGTGTGGAACTAGCCCGGGGAGGATTTTCATGGACTGCCTTAGAGTAAGCAGTTCTGTTAATGATGATGATGATTATGTTGGTGCTGGTAATTATGAGGAAAGGAGTAGCCAAAGTTCAGGTTGCAGTGTTGCAAATGGTGGTTTGAGGAGAGACTATCCGAACCATTCAGGTTGTTTCAGTCGAACCCAAATGGGTGTTCAATCAAAGAGTGGTGGGATGAATGGTGCCAGGTTTGGTCCCAAGAGTAAGTTAATGGTATATGCTCCTCCTTCTACCGTGGGAGGCTCTGCTCTAGCTTTGCATTATGCTAATGTTATAATTGTTGTCGAGAAGTTGCTTCGCTATCCTTATCTTGTGGGTGAGGAAGCTAGGGACGATTTGTATCATATGTTGCCAACCAGTTTAAGGATGTCCCTGAGGACTAATCTCAAGTCCTATGCTAAGAATTTCTCAATATATGATGCACCTCTTGCGCATGATTGGAAGGAGACTCTTGATGGGATTTTGAGATGGCTTGCCCCGCTGGCACATAACATGATCAGATGGCAGAGCGAGCGTAATTTCGAGCAACAGCAGATTGTTACGCGAACAAATGTTCTTCTGCTACAGACATTGTATTTTGCTGATCGAGAAAAGACGGAGGCAGCTATTTGTCAGGTTCTTGTTGGGTTGAATTATATATGCCGTTATGAGCATCAGCAAAATGCATTATTGGATTGTGCAAGTAGTTTTGATTTTGAAGACTGCATGGATTGGCAATTGCAATGCGGAGCTTCTTTTGTTGATTGACTACATTATTGGATTTGAAATCGTGAAGGTGGTGATAGGGAATTCTTCTTGATTCCTATTGCTTAGGTGAAAACATAGATGATAGTTCAACAGGATGTGAATATCTCAACTTTTCACACTGAAGGCTTTGATCTTCATTAATGTATTTTGTTGCAAGGTATGGGAAGCTTTGACTTCTGACGTACATAATTCTATTTATTTATTAAAAAAGGGTTTCCTTCTTTCGTGTAGAATTGTACGCGTGTTCTTGTAAAGTTCGTAGTTTTTTCTTAGTGAAGCCTGTTCATATTTTTGCAATTCATAATGTTATTCTGGCTAATGTTAATCTCTTAATCAGTAATGGTTCACTCTGGTCACGACTGTTAGTTTCTGATTAATTCATGACCTCTAATCTGATGTTGTTGTCCGCAAATACACACATACTAACAAAGATATTCTTAGATATATTTATCCTATTCTCATTTGGTTATGCTAGATCGTGTGCTAGGTGCCAAACTACGAAAGAGATGAACTAAAAGTGTTAAATGCTTGAGAACAATTGTGAGCTGAAAGTGGGAGCCGCATTAGGGAGAAAGGAAATTTCCTATCAAATCCGAAACGGTGCTTCTGCAAAGCAGTGTGGCATGTCCTTATGGAAAACCTGAGATTACTGAAGGTGCCTAGTTGCATTCCAAAGAAAGCGTGAAGGTGTCATTGGGTTTGAAGCACTCCTAAGGTTCACGTATCTTTTGCACACTAGCTAATGTTTTTACTGTTACTATGAGGGTGCAAGGTGTAATAACTCAATAAGCTGCCGGTTAAATTGTTTGAGGGATTGTGTCTATGTTGTCATCTTAGATGTCCTATAAGGAGGAAGTCATTTCATGTTGTCTGATGCATGGCTCACTTGGAATTTAAACTAATCTGGCTCCTCTTACATGTCATCAATGTACAAATGTAATCATATTTCAATGATGCATCTCTTTCATGGTGGTCTGGTTTTATAGTTTTACAGCTCACATTTACATGGAGTTAATCTGTTTTGGTATCTGTTGTTTTCATTGTTTTGCCTGCTTGTAGCATTTTATTGTAGCTGTCTTGTATCTAGAGGGATATGATATGGGAGAGTATTTGATCTGTCTGGATGTTCTCACTCCCAGCCAAGTCATTTGTATCTGTAGGCCTTTGACACAGGAAAATTACACGATGACAAGGGGAAAAAGAGAAAGAATCTATGAATTGAAGCAAATGCCTTCATCAACTCTTCCTTTTTAACTGAATGTTAGATTTTGAACATTGTCGTCGCATTTCTAAAGATTCAAGGAACAGTATAATAATTTTTACTGTTCCATTGACACACTAAAAACTGACAGTTTATTTATCAGGGCTGAAGACCCTTCTATTTTGATGCCCTGAGATTCCAGATTACATATAATGCAGAAGTGTTTTTCATGCATTAAAAATCTACCCTGCATGGTAAATTCTGCAAATAGTCTTTCATCTCTCTCTTTCTGGAATGGTTTTGGGTTAAAATGGGCAGCGTCCAACTGCACTGCTTCTCTCTTCTCGTTTCATATTTGGACTCTGCGATGAGCTTCTCATTTGCAAATTTGGATAAATCATTATCTATCAATAACCAGAAGAAAAAAGAAGAAAAGAAATAGAAATAGTTACAATGGGGAAGGATTGTGTCAGCCTTAAAACAATCAATGTGTATTTACAGCTCTATCCAGCAAGGAGTTGCTTGCAGGCAATGTCATGCGGCATTAAACTGGTGGTAGGAGGAGGTAGAGGAGGGCACCTGGGCACCGACTGGGGTATTGAAAGAGCCTTCAATATTATTAATGTGGCTTTTGACTTTTGACATCATTACGTGATACTATGTTTGGTAGTAGGAGTAATGAAAAATTAGGAGAAGTAGTAAATCATAAATGGAGGATGGAGAGGAAGTGTGTTACGATCACAAGGCTAAAACGCAACTAATAAAAACATCACAATCTTTCTACATAATTCCTTGAATTTTTCTATTCTTTTTAAAAGGAAGGATTCTAAATGCCTAGGAAATTTTAGCTTTTATTTTCCTTCAAAGATCAGTGTGAGAATCGAACTCTTGTCATAAGTGTAAAAGTATAAATGCTCTATCGTTAAAAATGGCTACTGCAAGAGGAACTTGCAATAATTAATGTAGAGACTATCAATGAGAGTAAGGGACTTATAGCTCAAGTCAGTGGTAAATTTATGATTTGAAAGTCGACTGGACGAAACTTATGCACGAAACTCAACAGTACAAGTGAAGTTCATTAATAAACATAAAAAGATACACATAGTCGGGGGACGTAATGAGTGTTATCCTCAAATGCATGTTTATACATATATAAAAGCTTAACAAAAACCACAAGTAAATGCCATGCAATACAAAATAACACTATTTAAATATAACATTTTACCCTACGAGCAGCTTCGAAGTCTTAAATTCTTAAATTATTGATATTATTAACAAACTCTCTTTCATACATGTTTTAGGTATCTAGGAAAATCAACAAATTTGAAGTAAAAATTTCACATGTGTTAAGTACCTGTACCACCCATTAACACACTAAAATGCCTATAAACGACTTGATAAATAAAACCATTGACAACCCAACCCATGAACAAAACTAAAAAAATCTATGAAAAAAGATTGATAGATAACACATGACAACCGAACCCTGTAACACAAGAACTAAATAACCCAACTCATTAACACAACAAACTCATAACCCAACCCATTAATAGGCATCAAACTCAACGATAAAGAGAAAATGAGAGACAAAAGATTAAAAAAAAACAAACAAACTAGACTCGCACCAGACATAAGATAAAGTTGAGACAGAGGTAGAAATAAGATTTCCACCTTGCCTACAACACCACCCACAGAGAGGCGGAGTGAGAGAGAGGAAGAGGCATTCAATTTTTTGGGTTATTTGCTGGCATCGGATAAATTTTTTTGGGTTACTTCGATTACCTTTTTTTTCATCCTTTCAGCCACCCTGCCTCTCTATGGACAAAGTTACAAAGAGTTAACTAGAGAAAAGAATATGTTGATGGTTGGCTGGGCAGCTAGAGATAGGGTTTCCATTTCTTTTTTGGTTGGGGTAACATATCTACCTTTCTTTCTTTTCGGCCGGGCAGCTGCCTAGTTAAAAACAGGCTAAATGCTCAAGTGGTTAAGAGCAGTTTACCCATGCCTTCGAGGTCTTGTGTTCAAATTGCCTCTCCCCAAGTATGATTTGTGTAAACAAAACAAAACAAATACAAAAAGAAAAAGAATATTTAAAAAAAAAAAAGTATAGGTTAGGCCCGTAATTAATTTTGAAGCCTGCACCGAAGTATTGTTGGGCCTAAAAAGCAAAGACTTGGACCATTGAGCTTATTGGCGGCAAGCCCAGCCAGTGGCACCACGTGGAAAACCATCAACTGCCTTTCCGTTCAATTCAATTCCACCATCACCTCTCCTTCATTTTCCTTTCCCACAGTTTCTCAGCAACCAAACGGAGCATCAACCATTTGAAAGTTTAACTCTTGCACTCTTCAACTTCATCAGCCGATTCAATTTCCTCCTCCTAATTCAAACTCTTACAAGCGCAAAACGACGCCGAATCTGCCTATATTGAAAGCATGAAACCAATGAGCTACAGAAGGTTCGTTTCTATAAATGCAAATATATTACATCTCTTCTGCATATAACAAGATCTTGCTTTTAAGAAATTTCAGGAAAATTTTATTTTTATCCAGACGCAATTTGAGTATTGATATCGAGATTGATTAGTTAGATCTTATAATTAGCATTGAGTACGAGCTCAATCTGCGACTATCCGAAGCCTTAATCTTGGTAAATTTTACTAATGTAGGTTATTTTCTTGATGAGAGTAAACAAATTTTGGATAGAGTGAGGGAAATGTAGGGTTCATTTTACTTACAAGTTTAGAATAGAATTATTGCAATGCTACTTTATTTTCTCAGAGAAAGTAAAAAAGGAAAATGCTTTTCACGGATTTTGTTTAGAATTGCTAATGTAGGTGATGCATGGTCTTGGATTAGTTCAGCTAAATGTTTATATGGCATTGAGTTATAGTCTGGATTAGTTAAAACGAAACCTGTAAGAAAGGGGATAAGGTGTTGATTTGCATGATGGTGCAAAACCGGTTGAATTTTTGAAAGTTTTAAGTTGCGGCCATAATTCAAGAGGCCAATCCCTTAGATTTGTGTTATTTTTGTGAGAATACACAATTAACTGTACTCTGACGGTTTGGTTTGGGTTTAGGCATATACACTGGTGGGTGGTACTTGCTTCAAACATTCATAGTTTAAAAATACTACGAAGTACATGTTTCTTCTGTTTTGTCGTAGCATAGTACTATTATGTGTATATTCAACTTTTTTTCTAGTTCTTTTTTAACAAGAAGCTTTGTTCCTTGCAAAACCATGCCACAAACCATTGCTACCACAATTTTGAACTTCATCTTCAATGTCACTTTTGAGTTTTAGTTCAAGGCACTGGTGTCAACCCCAAATATGTTGTAGTTTTGAACCAATATGCATTGTAAAATAATTTGACATGGTAAGTACTAATTTATTTAGGAGTAGTAGGTTTCCCAGGTGAGAACAGTATTTACACTAAATTTGTCTAATACTTGAATATGTTCACTCTTTTTGTAGGGAGCACCGTTCCTCCAAATCAGCTCTTTTAGATGGTCTTGAGGAAGGTGGTCTTAGGGCCTCTTCCTCATACTCCCGTGACATTAATGAGCATGACAATGACAAAGCCGTGCAAAGTTTACAAGACAGAGTTGTTTTTCTGAAGAGAGTGAGTTCCATATAAGAAGATCTCTTTACTGGTCATTCAATTGTTGATTTCAACCTTCTTTTCATAAATACCTTAACATGCTTTATATGTTATTAATGAATATCTCTTTCTACAACATTGTAAATTTGATATGTACCCTGTGCTTTTAGACAGTGGATATATATGCTGTAGCCATTGCATGGCGGATGTTTAGGAATTGATTTGACTGTATCTATTTAGGAGTGGAAGTAGAACATTCATCATTACAGACTTTTCTTCAAATGGTATAACTAGAATCCTGCAAACATCGTTGCCTGATGCATAAGCATGAGAGGGTTCAGGGGAATCTGGCCTGTATTGCCTTTTCTGTCATGGTCCTCAAGATGAACTCAGGTCAATCTTTAGGCCATCCAGTGTATCAGATTTGTCAGTTATGTTTGTCAACACTATTAGTAGCTACAATAATGTTTATGAATGCATTCAGGTTATGATATGCTCGATTATTAACATCATTGAATAAATTTCTGTGATGCATAGAGTATCATTGAATAATTGTACAGGAACAGTCCCCAGAAGAGGTGCAGTGTGTTCAATTACATTACGTACAGACACAGCTTGCCTATTTACCATTGATAAGTCTAGATGCACAATGTCGTCATATACTGGCATTAGTGTTATACAATATGTGTTCTTGCACGCACGGATTGTACACAAATCTGATGCTAGAAAGAAACTGTTCCTCCGGATGTTGTTGATTTATATATTGGTGCAGATAGTAAAGAGACGGGCTGGAGTTTGATCATTGTTTAAATCTTCCAAAATGAAAATGTTGTACTTGCCTAGATGAAGGATTTAAAATAAATAAGTAAATACAGGAAAGAATGGAAAATGATCTGGGTTTTATTTACAGTTAACAGGTGATATACATGAAGAGGTGGAGAGTCATAATCGTTTGCTTGACCGAATGGTATGCTTGTACAGTTTTTATACACTCCTTATTAAATTCGTTGTTTAAAAAACTATTGTATATATGTCTTAACTTTTTTGAGCATACTGCAAAACCAGGGCAATCACATGGATGCATCAAGGGGTATATTGTCTGGAACAATGGATCGGTTTAAGATGGTACCCAAACTAGATCTCCTATACAAATTTTTCTGTTTCCATCTCTCTCTCTCTCTCTCTCTCTCTCTCTCTCTCTCTCTCTCTCTTCTTTTTATATTTTCTCATTTATGGGAGATTAGCTGAGAGATGAAGTTGTTTGCGATGTAGGTATTTGAGAAAAAATCAAGCCGGAGAATGTGTAGACTTGTGGCATATTTTGTGGTTTCCTTCTTAATCATATACGTTCTCTTTAGGTAAAAGTTCATTATGGTATATGCTCTCTTATTGCAATATTAATGCATCTTATTAAGCAGGCAAGGATATCTTGGTTTTGAACATTATGCATTGTATTCTGATAGAGATGCTTATGCTTTTGACTGATGGACAAATTGATCACAGGAAAAGAGAGATCAAAAGTATGTGAGTGGGAAGGTGGGAAGGTGGGGTTGGTGAGATGGAGATTGTTAAGATGCATATGTGGAAAGTGGGAGTGGATGTCTGTCATTATTAATTAATTAAGATAGATTTGGGAATGATGGTAACAATTCGAAGGGAGGGGGTGGCAACATTCAAAGAGGAAAGAGAAAAAGGAACTAGTGGTGGTTGGATCATGTGCAAGGAAGATCTAAGGTCACGCTGAAATGAAAAAAGGAAAACGGAACAGTACATTCAAGCTAATGGGCAAAAAAAGAGTGAATGGAGACTAAAAATAACATTGGCTGAAGTAGGAGTAGGACCCCAGCAGCTAAGAAATAGGATTCATGTAATCCACCCAAAGAAAAAAATGTATGGGATTCAAATTGTGGTATAGATTGTTAAATTATCTTTTTCATTCTGCAACCCATTGCTGTCAATTCCACAAAGTTCCCGATATTAAATTTGAGGCCTACATTGTAAGAATTTTTGGCTTCTACACAAGAATCCTTAAAACTGAACTGCCCCCCTCTCGTTCTCCTATTCTTTCTTTGGTTTTTTGGTTGGGCGTGGGTTTTCAACCGTTCACCAGTGTTTCAGACTTTTCTATGTTGATGGGTCTTTTGCCATTTTAGACTTCATTAGCAATTTTCTATGTTGGCCCATTCAGGGTAGTTTGTTACTTTGCCCAATAAATGACGGTATACGTTTGCAGCCTTGATTACTTAATCAAATTGTGTGGCTGATGTTGGTTTGCTTCTTGTTTGCAGGATTCGCAGAATCTTTATGCATAGCTGAACCAGAATTATAGAAAGCTCCTTTCCCAATTTTTTATCAGAAGAAAAATGGTGGCCCATATGCAGTAACATCATCGGTGCAAATGCATCTCACTCAAACAGCGTGACAGCATGTGAAAATGATTTCAGAGCTGATCAGCAGAAAGAAATATTTTTCATTTCTCAATATAGAGATGTTATGCCTGAAAGGATTGGGCAGCTGCTGGAGGTGAGCTGCTTGTTGAATTGTACAAGAACACATACTGAACTTTTGTTTCTTGTTTTACATTTTAAAAGACCTTGCACTTAGCTTTTTCTATTGCATGGCTTTCTGTCTCATGGCATCTTTCGATTAAAGCATCATGCAAACTGATCATAAGAAGAAACCATGCCGGCATTCATACATACCATCCTAGGGACATACATACATACATACGTACGTTCATGCATATACATACTCTTGAATGCAGCTTGTTACATAAGTGGAAGCGTTTATTGTGGGGGCACAAACACAATGGCATGGCCTTACCTGGCTAAAAAGCTGCATTGCTTTGTTACAGGAAAGTATTAGAATTCAGTTTGTTGGTTAGGGTGGGTATTTTATACTCTAGTGAATGTTATCATGTAGTACAAACTATTTTAGTCTGATGGTGATGGGTAATTTGCCTCTGTATCAAACTGAGCCAACTCTCAAACTTCATGATATTTTTAGTCAAAGAAAATAATTTTAGATGGGAAAATTTTGAATTCTGGATGGACAAAGTTTTGAAGCAGCTTTGTGATTTTCCTGAGACTCTAGTCTGTTGCAGAACTTATCATATGTTATATACAAGCGATATTTGGGGAGGGAGAAGGGGGGTGGGGTACATGGGTGAATGATCTTAACCAATTGAGCTGCAAGACTAGTCATATTTGGATGGCAGGTGAGCCATATTTGGGTTATGGTTATTTTATTAGATAATCAGGGAAGCAAATTGTAGGCTTGATGGCAAGTCAACCTGGGTGCCTATGTAGCCTCATCCTTGTAAATTTGGATCTCAAAACAACTACTTTGGACCTTGGTGGCCGGCATGTTATTCTAATCAAAATAAGACTTCTCTTAGCAATGCAATTTGCAGCTCAACTAGAACAAGCAAGTTCCTTGTGGTAACCTTAGACTTTGCCCAATTTGGACCTAAACATTTTCTAATGGCCAAGTGGGGATAACTGGTTTGATGTGAAATTACAAATCAGCTCATTATTTCTTCCAATAAAGGGGATTAGGTATAGGGCCAAAGGAGATTACGTATATGACCCAAATGAAGGGGCTAATAAGGTGGTGATGTCCTTGGCCCCCCGCTGATGAGAGTGCATATCCATAAAATAGCTATATATATATTGAGTTTGTAGGGTATATGGGACTTAATTAAGTTTGTTTTGTTTTTGTTTTGTCAAAGACTTAATCTAGTTTAACAAATGAAACCTGCCGACACTCGACATCAATTTGCTTAAACCGGGAAAATAATCAAAGATCAATGTAAAAATCGCAGCAGGAGATGGAATTTACCCAGATACTATTGGCCTCTTAACCCCACAGAAATAACATTTAGGCCACCGATGTCTTTATTATTGGCAATGTGGAATGAAGAAGAGGCGTGGTAAATTAAGCCGACAAAGTCACTAATCAAAGAAAGTAGGTAAAAAGAATATGCTAAGTAAGTCACTAATCCAAAAAGAAGGTTCGTAATGAAATTCCGACGAAGCTGCTTTTGAATTTCACAAGATTTTGCATAGCAGATAGCTACGGACTTTTTGCACTCCCTTGTCGATGTTGATCAATAATAAAACTTTGTCATATATGTTTAGACAGGTCTTTGTTTTTGAATATAAGCGATAATCTAAACCCTAAGGGGAAGAAGGGTTTATCACATAGTGGTGTCACAGGGGTGCGAACCTGAGACCACTTGTCTACAAATCAAGGCACTTTTCCACTGAACTAGATCTCATTAGCTTGTTTTTGTTTTTTTTTTAAGTAAGAAAATAGTAGCAAAAGACTATTTCTTAATCCCTTGTAACACGGGAGCTACAAGACGCAACTTCTATTTCCAAAGTTGAACCATCATTTACAAATAATTATAATTTATAAAGAGATGACGAAATGTATTGCGCTGGCTTTGGAAAAATTGTCAATATGTACGAATCATCCTTTGGTTTTGTTTAAGATGTAAGCAACATAATGGTCCATCAACCATGAGCCATGTGTCTGCTTACTCTTTTAACAAAATTCAACGAACATCGATCTCTCATGTCTATAAATGCATCGTGTAAAACATGCTCTTGGCCATTGCTGCATGTCACACTCATACATATTATGAAGATTTATTTTAATAAAATTAACCAGAAAATTAAAAAATAAATTGCTAAAATGGTAACCATGAAATATCAACCTCTATATGTTCTAGTGCTCATAGATGATGTTTGAACGGTTCGGATTTTTGAAATAAAATACAGAATCTCTTAAATAAATTTAGTTGAAAAATCTCTCAACTAAAGCTTTCTAGTATATATAATGTATGGGACTCGCAAATTCGGGGCCATCTTGTGGGTAGTATATATATTATATATGCTGCCAAAGCTTTGGGAAAATCCAATGACTCCAAAATAATTCATTGTAATGAAAGTTAAAGTGCACCTTGGATGCCCCCACCATGTATAATTGATTTCCTCTTTGTTGTTGGATATCCTTGTCATCAAACCAAAGTTACTATGTATTGGGTCGTGCTTTATATGCTAGATTACCTCAAATAATAAGATCTCACAAATTTAACTAAAAAATTAACAATACAATAAATTATTATGATCTGTGTGATTTATGAATACAATTATCGCTTCTTCCTTTTTTTTTTTAATTAAAAAAAAACAATACAATAGAGTAACATTTTTTTCCTCTTCCAAATCTGGATTACATAAAATCTAACTTAGCAGCATGTCAGATTCCACCTTCTTCTTTAATAAATATAAATGGATAATGTCACACACTTTAATTAAAGATCTTTGCAACTGTCTGAATTAAACATATTTAAACAAGACATTATAAAATCTCTATCACCAGATCTCAATGCTGAATGTGTGTAAACAAAACATGCACTAGAAGACATGCCAATTCCTAAATTTTCTCTTCTGAACGCTCTACATCTCTGTCCCCTTCTTCCCCCTGCTCCAAAACTTCCTCCTCCAACAGTTCTATCAACAATTTTGATCGCTTTCGACCCAATCCTTGTTTTGGCCAAAGGACTATTAATTATTGCTTTTCTAAAGCCACAGCTTAGGATTGTTTCTGAATATAAAACTTCAACTTGCGCTCATCTACATCAAATCTGTCCAAAATTTCTGCCAATAATGCTGTAATCATTGGTCTTACTTATGATTCATTTTTAAATTTGTCATTTTGTCAAATCTATTATACTAAATTACTTGTTTATTTAATTGAACCTCACTGCTTCCAACCTGTTTGCACTTACTTCTAGACCATGACCATCACCGCAACTATTTCTGCCACCATAATTAGAAAGTGCATCATTAGTATTTATTTTGATGGTCCTAAATCGGCATCCGAGGAGATAATATAGGGCAAAAGCAAATACGTTATTTGTTGATAGGGCAAAAATCCCCAGATATTGCATCTCCTTGAAAAAGCAAAGAAATACAACTATGGAAGACCTTTGTGATCTCTTCAAATGTGTGATTGCGTACTCCGTCAATCATGTTTTTTCTAATCAAAGATGAAAATTTTACCATTCTAGTGAGTAGCAATCTAATCTTAATTGTGACAATGAAAATGATTTATCTACTTATTATAGCTAGAAATGCATTGCACTATACCATGTGATATTATCAAATTCGTTTTCTCATCTCATATCAATGAGATGAGAAAAAATAACAAGTACTTGCAAATCTCTTGGATTTCATCCTTGTCAATCTTTTATTGGGCAATTTTGCATTGATATAAAGGTTTGAACATAGTATGTTTGAGTTTACCTACTTACTTTACGTCGTCACAATTGACCCAACTGTACGGATGAGTTTTCAATAAAACCTTATAGAATTTCATTTCATTTTTCAAAAAAGAAAACAGCGTCCTTATTATTTTACATTTCCCTCTCTTCAAGAAAAGAAATCATGGGTAGATTCCATTTTAGGCAACAAAAGACTGTAGGTTAAAACCCAAAATGAGAAAAACTGCAAAACCTATTAAAAGGGGGGCCAAGGCAGGCAGCAGTAGTGAGTAGTAGTAGCTAGAGCAAACACCACTCAATGTTACTGAGGAAAAATCTAATCTTAATTGTGATGATGACAATGATTTATCTACTTATTATAGTTAGAAATGCATTTTACTGAAACATATAATGTGATCGACTCCAAGCAATTATTGAAAAACTCTCTCTAGAGAAAGAAAACGCTAAAGAGATAAAAGTTTCAGCCATAACCCACTTTCGGGTCCGTGGCCTCCATCCCTCCATCCCTCCTTCCTTCCTTCCTTCCTTACCCTCCCAAACCTTCCCCTCCCTTCTCCACCTCTGCTCTCACACATCCCCCTACAACCCTTCCCTCTTGACTGATCATTTTGGTGGCTGCTTGGCTATATTGGTGACGACGTGGTGACAAATCAGCTTTTATTTACTTGTTTTGTGTGCAATTAGTTGTAATAAGTGCATCAACTCTTTATGAGTTTGTTGTGTGTTTGTAGTACTTGTATTTTCTACTTGTCAGAGTTAAAAGGTTGGAGTTGTAGTTTGGTGCTGAGGTATATGTCTAGTTTTTCCATCGACTCTTTTGTCGAACTTTCTTAGGCCCAGTATGGCTATGAGTCTACACCCTGTGCATTTGATGTTGCTGGTGGACTCATTCGTATTTGGATTAACCCCATGTGGTTATTGTGCTTTCATATTTGTATTAACCATATGTGGTTATATGTATTTATATTGATATTTGTGACTGATGGCTTGTAGGCCTGAATTATGAATGCAATCTATCACATGTCACTTAAAAAACACATAATATTATCAATTTCGTTTTATGAGGGATTGATATGAGATAAGAAAACATAACAACTTGCAAGTCTCTAGGATTGGATCCTTGCCAAACGCTCATCAGGTAATTTTGTGTTCATAAAGATTTGAACTTAGTACGTTTGAGTTTACCCACTTGCTTTATTTTGTCATAATTGAACCAACTGTACAGATGAATTTGTAATAGAACCCTTATAGAATTCCATTTTATTTTTTCCAAAAACAAAACAGTGCCCTTATTATTTTACATTTCCCCGTCTTTTAGAAAAGAAATCATGGGTAGATTTCCATTTTGGGCAAAAACAGAGTGTACGTTAAGACCCAAAATAAGAAAAAACTGCAAAATCAGAAAAGGGACCGAGGCAGGTGGCAATAGTAAGTAGCTAGAGCAAACACCATCCACACAAGGTCCTCTCGCTCTCAGTCCTCTCCAGCTTTTGCTGAATTAGATCTGTTTATTATTTACACACTACTGTGGCGCACACGGACACACACACAGAGACAAAACACACACACTTTGTGTATCTATAGGCTCATATATACATATATGTATATATGTTGGGCCCGAGACAACGACGTGATCCCCACCTCCCACGCGCACGCGACCCCACGAAACCCTAACCTTCCCAAGAACCTCTCTCCCTCCCCTTCCAAAAAAGCAGACATCACTAATCTTTTTCTGCTGACTATTTTAGACAGACAGACAGACAGAGAGGAGATATCCAAGAGAAATCAAGAGAGAGATCGAGACAAACGAAAAAAAAGGGTTAAATCCTCAGCTCCCCAAATCACAACAGAGCTTAGCAGCTTATTAGCTTATTAAACACCAAACCCCAGCCACACAAACACTTAATTGTGTCTTTCCCTTCTTCTTTTTTTATTTTTAATTATTGTATTTTATATAAATATACTGTCTTTTAAGTTTTGTTTCAGTCTTTTTCTTTCTGTACTTGTACTGCTTTGCTTAATTTTAATTAATATTCTCTCTTTCTTGTTTGTGCTTAATTGATTCTATCAATCAAGCTTAAGGGTTTTTGCATCTGTTCCATATTCTCTCCACTAACCTCATCACACTTCCCCCATCGCCTGATGATGATGTTCATCTTTGGGCTACATCTTCATCACCTCTGTAACTCCTAGCTACTGCTCTCTCTCTCTCCGCCCCCCTCAGCT